GGTGGGGATTGATGGGGTGTGGGACCCCCACAGAGGTGATGGACGGGGTCTGGGACCCCCCATGGTGGCGATGGATGAGGTCTGGGACCACCCCAGAGGTGATGGACGGGGTCTAGGACCCCCATGGTGGCAATAGACAAGGTCCGGGACCCCCACAGAGGTGATGGATGGGGTCCGGGACCCCCATGGTGGTGATTGATGGGGTCTGGGACCCCCACAGAGGCGATGGATGGGGTCTGGGACCCCCATGGTGGCAATAGGTGAGGTCTGGGACCCCCCCAGAGGTGATGGACGGGGTCTGGGACCCCCACAGAGGTGATGGACGGGGTCTGGGACCCCCCCACAGAGGCAATGGACGGGGTCTAGGACCCCCACAGAGGCGATGGATGGGGTCCAGGACCCCCATGGTGGCAATGGATGAGGTCTGGGACCCCCATAGCGGTGATGGACAGGGTCCGGGACCCCCACAGAGGCGATGGACGGGGTCCGGGACCCCCATGGTGGTGGTGGATGGGGTCCAGGACCCCCATGGTAGCAATAGACGAGGTCTGGGACCCCCCCAGAGGTGATGGACAGGGTCTAGGACCCCCATGGTGGTGATTGATGGGCTCCGGGACCACCACAGTGGTGGTGGACGGGGCCTGGGATCTCCATAATGATGGTGGATGGGGTCCAGGACCCCCATGGTGGCGATGGACGAGGTCTCGGACCCCCACAGCAGTGATGGATGGGGTCTGGGACCCCCCACAGAGGCAATGGACGGGGGCTGGGACCCAAGGTGGTGATTGATGGGGTCTGGGACCCCCAAGGTGGTGATTGATGGGGTCTGGGACTCCCAAGGTGGTGATTGATGGGGTCCGGGACCCCCACAGTGGTGATGGATGGGGTCTAGGACCCCCATGGTGGCGATGGATGGGGTCTGGGACCCCCACAGCAGTGGTGGACGGGGTCTGGGACCCCCACAGTGGTGATTGATGGGGTCCAGGACCCCATGGTGGTGGTGGAGGATGGGGGTCCAGAAACCCCCCCCAGTGATAGTGGACAGGGTCCAGGACCCCTATGGTGGCAGTGGACAGGGTCTGAGACCCCCACAGTGGTGATTGATGGGATCCAGGACCCACATGGTGGCAGTGGATGGGGTCCAGGACCCCCAAGGTGGTGGTGGACAGGGTCTGGGACCACCACAGTGGTGATGGACGGGGTCAGGGACCCCCGTGGTGGTGATGGATGGGCTCCAGGACCCCCACAGCAGTGGTGGATGGGCTCCAGGACCCCCACAGCAGTGGTGGATGGGGTCCAGGACCCCCACAGCAGGGGGGGGTGGGCTCCAGGGACCCCCCGCGA